CACACACACACACACACACACACACACACACACACACACACACACACACACACGCAAAAAAACATTATCTGCTAAGCATTCTTGAGACTTTGTTATTACAAGAGGAAGCATACATTTAAAAAGTTGTTTTCGGTCATTCAAGGAAGCAAATCCRATTTTGTATGAACAGTTTTATTTATATAACCCCACCTTATCACATTTGTTTCATTCTGCCAGGAAAAATGGTCAAGCATGTAATTATCCAGGTATCAGAAGCTGAAGGTCATCCCCAACACATTCTCGAAGTGCTGACTGATTATATGAGATTTACSAGCATAGAAAGATGATTTTTGTTTCATATTTTGGCATGAAATGTGTCAGGATTATTATATTCCTTTAAGGAATGCTCTCTCTTTATTATTTAAATCTATTGCAGGATGATGGGAGGATATTATGAATTTTTTTTTACTTTTTTGACTCATTAGCCTTATATGTATATGATGTGTGTTACAAATTCATCAACTTATCAGTGTCAGAGTGTGTGCATCCCTCCTTCATTAGCTGTCTAATCTTAAGAGAATTAGCACCCGACAGCTGCCGGTGTGCATGCGCACGCTGCAGTCTTCTTAGCCGGTRATGACTGCACAGACCAGAATAAAGGTGAACACGACGACAGACACCAGGAGCTTTTTTTTGTCTGCTTAATGCAACTGCAGACTAGAAGAGCTGCGGCTCAACGTGAATTCGGAAGTTTGAACAAAATCCTTCAGCCGAGCAGCCGCGAAGCGAGACTTTTCACCAAAACAATTAAAAGCGTGGGCTTTCAAATCAACATTATTAAACTTCCTCGCTGCGGGAGATGCACTTTAGGAAATCTGCTTTGTTGTGTCATGGAGTTAATGAGGTGACACACCTACTGCATCTGTGTTGTTCTCCCGAAGCATTCCYTGTCCCCAGACGATCAGCCACCCTCACTGTGTTACAGATGGAGATTGCCTTGTTCCACAAACAGTATACGGTCTTACATTTGAGTCTCTGCGGCACACTCAGGAGCTTTGTGAGCAAAGTGCAAAGCACCACAAGGGATCTAACCTTTGCTTTTATGTTTCTCGATGAGAGCGGACACACAGGAAGGACGTGTGGTCTCATTTTACATGGGAGCTCCYCCAACTGGGGCCAAAACACTTTACATTGCTCTTTAAATGTTTTCTCAAAGCAGTCGTGTGCGTTGATGTGGGTTTACACAAGGAGGTTCTTGATTGTTGGGGAGATTATTAAAAAAATTATGCAGTTTAACTTAGTCCTGGCAGCCATGAAACAGGAAGTAGAGCTGGTCGTCCTTTAAAAATGAGACTTTTTACATAATAAAAGAAAAAGAAAAGGTAGAAAAAGTTGAGTCGGTCTTCTGGATAAGTTTTACTTTGTTGAAACGTTTCATCTCTTTTCTTCAGTTTGAGGAGTTACAGGTAAACTCAGCCTTATAAGCAGTACCTTCACATAGTGGATCAACCAGTTTACCGGTGATACATGAAACTGATTGTTCATATGCAAAAGAGAACGATCAGCCTAACAAGCAARCACTACGGCCCTGATTATCACCGATTTTTCACAGAGAGCCGAGTCGTACTAAATGACTGGGTCCAAATTCCAGGGCTGCATCTTTCGAAGGCCGAATTTGTCAGCTGCTTACATCACTGCGCCGCTCRGGAAGCTGTCCAAATTCAAAYAKCCCTCCAAWTGCAGCCCACAAATGCAWKCTCCTTTTTCTACAACTTGAGGGGGCAGGTCCGGTGTATGCTTCTCTGCCCAGCCTATCCAGTTATCCTATCAAGTTTCAACCAGTTGTGTTAATGTTTTTGTCATTTGCACAGACATGCTTTTTTTCCCCCAATTACTGCTTTCAAGCTAATTTTGCTATTTTATAATAATAACAACACTGCTATATTAACATTTTGCTACTTTCGATATATTTTTGCTTCTGTTTAGTATTGTCACATATGCTGGGGTAAGGGGGCGGGAATAAAGCAGGAGACTAGACCATCCAAACTGGCAACCATTTGAATTTTTCCTGGTTTTGCAGTTAACCAAGGACTCAGCCCACCTAGATTGGGTAGGCTGTGTCCCTCGAAGGGACGCAGCACCTGAACTTGGACACAGCCAATAACAGCATTGTAAGACAGGAACAATTAGACATGAAGACATCCACCACTGTTTAATGACAGGCAGCTTTGATTTGATTGTTAGACCACAAGGTTAGCATTTTAGACCGATTTTCCCACTTTTTACCTATTGAAATAAAACTGAACACTCCTTAAGACTCAAACAGCCTAAAGTAATTTTTGTAGTCAACTGTGTCTGTCTGTTAGCAAAATATCTCATTTAATAGGTGATGGATTTGAATGGAACTCTCTGGATGTAATCACTGGATGGATATTCACAGCTGATTCACTTCTGGAGTAAACCCAGTTCCAGATGGCTGCCACAGCTAACTGAGCTTAGCAAACTCAAAYTTAGCTATAATTCAGTCCAGATGTTAGACTATGGTTTGGTGTGGTAGTAGCTGAGAGTAATCCCAGCACATACACTGACCTCTAACAGATTGTTTTGCTTTTTGTTTAAAGCTGAGGCACACATTTTACTGATTTGTTTTAATGGTTGTCTATCAGACATTAATATCATCGATTCTCTGAAGATTGATCCCACATTTGTTCTCTTTTTTTCCCACACCAGGTTGTGTGAGACAGTGGTGCCCCTGGAGGACCCTATCATCACAGAGACCACCTCCACACTGCAGGAATGGGGCGTCCTGTGGAAGCAGCTCTACGTGGTCGGTAGCTGTGTGTTACAGCACCTCTCACTCTGCTCAAAACAAAACACAAAGCAATAAATATGAGGGTGGATCTAATGTTACAGAGGAATCCAAAAGAACAGCAGTGTTTGCGAATAAATTGTACTCATTGTTGTTTCATTTGCTGGAAGAGGCTTTTTTTCTTTTTTTCTTACATGATACAACACATCGAAAAACAAAACAAAAATAAAAAAACTAGTTTGGCTCTAAGAAACGATTAATCTGAAATAAGGTCCAAAACCTAGAGTGAGAGTTCTCTCATGATTCTCACAGTYTTGTTTTCTATACTGCTGCATCTGAGAAGCAGCAGAAATGGTGGCTGGACGCACAGAATGGCCTACTGTAGCCTTGTCGTGTCACTCAGCCGTTGACTCATCTTGGCACGCCTCTCGTAGCTTCAGCATCGRCTCAAGATCCACCACCTTCAGTCAGCTTTTACATGCTCAGGAAAAAGTGATTACTGAAAATTTAAAGCACCTTTAATCTTGCTAAGTCTTGAGGGGGCCGGCAGATGTGGTTGGTGGGGTTTAGAGTTTGAAACTAAGTGGCTAAATGTTGGCTGTGAGTTTTTACATAACCTTTTTTTTCTTACTGAGGACTGCTTTGAGTGACTATAAGCGGCTCTGGGCATCGGTGGGATGATGTAACTTCCACTGAGGCTCGACTAATGTGAAGCCTTGATTTAACAGTGCTGGTTTTGTCCTCATCCTCCCCCCCCCGCCCCCCATGTGGAGTGGGCCATGTTTCCACAGTATCATCCATAATAATAGGATGCAGCGCTGGCTGGGTATTTCGTATGTTTCACTTTGCTGTAGCCCGTTGCATTTTTCGTGGCGCTACATCAGGGAGCAACGGCCAAAGCGGAGCTGCGTGTTTGTTACAGTGTGCATAATTAGCCCTGCAGAAACGAGGTCCGAAAGGACTCATCAGCTCTGACAAAACTCTTTTGTTTCCAGCAGCRACCAGGCTTTTAAAAACACGCAGTGTTTATCCTCATTAAACCTACATGTCCATTGTGGTGCATTATTTTTTTTCCATTTATGTAAACAAACCTGGGCGCTTAATGTGGGCTTGTCACACCATTAGAAAAATTTAATAAATAAAAGCAGGATTAAATTGAAATTATTATCCTCGGTTTATAAACGATGACGCTGGTATTTATTTTTATTATTATTATTATTATGAAGACTTGTTAGTTAAATGCTTTCTTTGACAGAAGCAATGGTAAATCTGTAAATCTGCTGCAACACATGGATTGTCTGGGCTGTCAGAGGGTTAAAAACTCTCTTAATAGGACCATTATATCATTGTCTCTAGCTGAATCAACAAAGTAACTTGAGTATAGACATTTATTTATATTCATGACAGAAATAATGTGGCTCTGATTGATGTTCATTTGGGATGTTCTAGTCAAAGTGTGGCACAACCAGTTAGCTTTGTTCTGTTTGTTGTTTTAAGGTGTGTGTGTGTGTGTGTGTGTGTGTGTGTGTGTGTGTGTGTGTGTGGAGGGGGTTGGTTTTATGTATTTACCAGGCACCTAGTTCAATTCTTTATCTAAATATGTTACATTCAGTTGTTATGAAAAAGCTGTATATATCAAAATGAAATTTGATTTTGCATCATAGTCTATTCAAACACCTTGAAATTGGCCTGTGTCTCTTTGAGAATCTCTTTCCATTTCTGACACTTCCACTTCAGCACGTATTTATAACAATGCTTCACTGGAGGGGTGCTCTGTGGGGCGGGAGCTCGGCTGCAGACTGAGCTCCAGGGCGGAGCTTTGTGTAAATAGGCGGAGCTTTGTACCAGCAGGCGTTTAGGCAGCTCCACATGGCTCCACAGGAGATTCATGGATTTCTTAAACATGCATGAATGAGACAAAGCAACACTCTGGGTATGTTTTTGATGAGGGGATGACAATATAACGTGATATAAAGCTAAGAAGTCGGTTTTACATAACACCCCACCCTTTAATCTTGTTAATAATTTCACATGTATATTAGTATAAACGATGAAAGGAGATGTCTCATCAGAGTATTTTTTGGCTACTTAGAAACACAAGGTGGATCTGTTCCACAAGCTTCGTCATGTGATGAATGAGCTCATCGACCTGCGCCGGCAGCTAATCCAAGGCCACCTCTCTCAGGACCAGACTCGCGAGATCAAGCGGCACATCACCGTTCGCCTCGACTGGGGCAATGAGTGAGTAGCAACGTAATGAGTCTATTACATCCACCAAGCTGCAAAGTGAAAGACAACTGCCCCATAAACATTTTCTTCCTAATTGTTGGCCACTAAAGAAGACATTTATTTATTTATTTATTTATTTATTTATTTATTTATTTATTTATTGGCACTAAAGAGCTTCACGGCGCAGGGTGAGTGGGCGTGCAACAGCATCTCCAGAAAGGAATTTTGTGGTCATTTAGAAGATGAGTGAGTCAGGAAGCTGAGGCTGCTTACAGTCGATGCAAATCTGCCTGGAGGAAGTTTTAAAATCATCTTCTTCTTCTTGGTGCCAACTCCAGCTGAGACGTGTCAGGCCTCTGCACAAGGAATACAGATATCAGCTCAGCTGAAGAGAGGCTTTGTCATTTGAAAGAAGACTGAGTACATGATTACGTGCACGTCTTTGAATCACTCATTTGATTAACYTTTGTGATTGAATAAACTATGAAGCCACAAAGCCTGTAAAGCAGCACAATTAGCTGATYGTTAAAGCCTGCAGAGAACGAGGGCCTGAGAATGGCTGGAATCTGATTTGTGGTTTCTGTAACTTSAACCTGAGACTCAAGACACCACGATGCATTTTAGTGCTGCTGTTTTTACTCCTGCAGCCTTCTTACTCTCCATAAGATAAACGTGCTGAGTAATAGTCAGTAAGTCCTTGTTGAACTGCAAAATCCCAGATTATTTCCTTTAGAATGAAACAAATGGAAATTTGTTTGCAGGATAAAATGAAGCGATTAAAAATGTTTATTTCTGATGTTTTATTATCTGACAGCAGTACAACAAAAAACTTCACATAGTTTTGATGCAAACTGATTCAGAATACATGTTATGTATGGTATGTCTTGCAAATATTCATGAATTTAAATAGCTATTACTCCTATRTGACTGTTAACTAATGTTGAAGAAACTAAAGCAATCCCTGATATTTTTGTTAAGATCCAGTGTTTGGGATGCAACACGACTGTCTGCTGTATTTRAGCCCTGAGTGGTTGCCAAGGCAACCAATGGACACTGTAGGAAGTCACTGCGGCATAAAACCCAAACAGTTGTGTTAAGTCTTTGATTTCTGTTTGGGTTTATTAGTGAGCTTTAGAGGGTGATGGTGAATGGAACTTGGCAGACCAAGAACAGCTGTTTTTTGTGTTTAAATAAAGCTGCATTTAAATTTATTGACTCACTTTACAGTCAGTCTAAGCAAAGGTTTTTCATCTGCCTTGTTTCTAAAACAAMAGGGCTATTTGTAGGTCAGATATGTGAAGTGGCCAGAACTGACTGATATCACAAAGAATATATATCTGTCAGCTTTAATGAGTTTTTCTCCTTCTTGTTTTTGTCCTTTCTCGTCATCCTTCCTTCTCCAGGCACCTCGGCCTGGACCTTGTTCCCAGAAAAGAGTTTGAAATGGTGGATCCAGATCAGATCAGCGTGTCGGAGCTGTACAAACTGGTATGTCAGTCAAAACCATCTCAAAGCTATTCTAGTTCAGCTTTTGTGTGTTTAAGTGGAATAAGCTTTTAACACAAAACCACATTGTTTGGTTGATAACATGAGCATTAAGTGTGGGCAAGACTAACCGACAGGAACATTATGATCTTTTGTCTACTGTTATTATTATTTGTTGCTTTTTCACTGCTGTCATTTTCATATAGGAATGTGTTGGATGTTTTTGGGACGTGTGAATGTACCAATTATAAAATCATCTATAAGAAGGTGTTGAGATGAAGAGAGAGAGAGAGAGAGAAGAAAAGCTGTTAGAGTTGCATCATGGGACTTGTTTTTATTTATGTTGTCCTTTCCGACACATTCAGAGTGTCCCTTTGCTTTCTGCATGTGCCTCTTGCAACTGTGATTGTTAACTAGCAATGCAAACATAATGTAAAGTGACAGCCCCGGGTGGAGCTATGAGAAAGTACAAGCAAAAATATATATATTTTTTCTACATAAAACTTACATATTTAAATCTTTCTTACTTTAAACCACGAGCCAGTCTAGAGGCATGTTCCTATAAATAAGTAATGTATCAAATGTATTTTGGTTGTAGCGATGTGGGACTTCCAAGCCTAAACACWAACACAGGGAGGTAGAGAGCGAGGGAGAGGAGACTTAGCGAAGCAGATTCAATTTTAGGACTATGTTATTACGGCACAAATGTTATGAAATCTAATGTAATGCTGCTGCAGACTATTATCTGGGAGGGAGATCCTCTCTGGTCAGTAGCTGGAGCTCCATATGCTGATGAAAACATTCTCCAACCACCCTGCAGCCTCCCATTATCCCACTGCCATGTTTCTCAGCTTTACACGCTGAATGTTTGTCCACTAAATGCTGTGTGCAGAAACAAGAGCGTGGCTTTTTGCTGCCAAAAATCCTCCTGAATCTATTGATGAAATTGAGCTTGTCTTTGGCAGGGCACGAGGCCTTGGCGCCTCTTCAGGTATGGCAGCTCTTTTAGGCCACCAAGCAGAGAGTGGTATGTGTGTGTGTGTGTGTGTGTGTGTGTGTGTGTGTGTGTGTGTGTGTGTGTGTGTGTGTGTGTGTGTGTGTGGAGGGGTGAGACCGGCTTTGTCCTCTCCCCTCCCACACGCTGCACGTTTCTGCCTCATGTGGGCTTGACATTGCGCTGCAGGAACAGCAGCGTAGTCTCTCTCCGCAGCACACGTAGGTGAACTTTTGTAAGATGTGAAGAATTGAGCGAAGCACCGGTCCTGTAGCTGTGTTCGTGAACCTGCTATAATGTAAATCATTTCAGGGATGTGTGGGATGTGTAAAGCCTGGATAGACTCATCTGACAGTTTTCTTTTAGATTTTTACCTGTTTCTTTTTTTTATTATTATTATCATRTTTTAGCACGTATCCAGCAGACACTGTGGCCAGCAAAGCACAAACCAGGTAAAGTCACTTCAAAGCTCTTTGCTTATGAAATCATCACTTTTTTTTTGCTCCGCCTCCCTGTTCAAATTGAAATTTAGACTGGACATTCTTCTTTCTTTTTTTAAACACTTTCTACCAATCAGGATTTTATACGTCAGGGATCTCATGTAACACTAAGGCCATTACTTTTACACATTTTTTTTTTTGTGTTGGTGGCCTTTGTGTTTGTTTCATGCTCCATGTTGCCAGAGTAGGAACACCAGTTCACACTGGGATCACACATGCTCCAGTGCATTCTTTCAGGGAGTTTCATTGATCTCGGAGTACTATTACTATGAAAAGCCATTGCACTTTGGTTTAGTTTATGAAGTAATATTTCCACCTGTGGTGTTGTTTTACATCACAGACAGACAGCAGGTGCTTTATCGCAGCAATTAGCTCTATAAAAACCAGAATGCGTTCTTGTTTTCAGTTATTTTGGTGTMTAGGATAACAAATATGTGCCATCCGTACACATACGACGACCACATTTTCTTTACGTCTTAATAAAACAAAATGCATGGCGAGTCAAAAGTCTCAGGACACACTTTTATTTTAGAAACAAAAGGGAAAAATAAATGTTTGAATACACCAGGAAGTAATGGGGGAGGCTATGTCTTTTAGGCTATGACTGGAACGTGGTCGTCGTCTTCAAAGCTGCCATATTGGATCAAGGGCAGGTTTTTTTCAATGGGAATGGGGGTCATGTAGCATGTCATGTAGCATATCATTCTGTGTTTGCTGCAATCGATTTCTGAGACAAATCGGGTGTTCTTTGCTTTGCTACATGGCCCCCTTTCACCTTGGCAAAATTGAACTTTGATCCAATATGGCAGCTTTCAAGATGGCAGCCATGTTCTGAACATAGCCTAAGATATTGGCCCCCCTCACCCATTTTTTAGCTGCGACATGCAGTTATTTTCTTTTTCTCTTTCGTTTCTGAATAGAAACGGTGTCCTGACTCTTTTGACTCACTCTAATCATTGATAAACTACTTACCATACATTGGCCTAAATAGAGTGAAAAGTGTTGTTTGGCTGTGGTTTTTCACCTGACATTTTTATGTTTACTAAGTTACAGTACATTGATCTTTATATTTTAAGCACAGTCTGCATCAGGCCCTCCTTTTGAAAGCTCAACAATAAACCACTTATCAGACTTCCATCATTTGTTGACGCATGTTATTCACTTAAACATTAATACTGATGCTACTATAAGTAGCATTTACTCGCAACACAAGAGAAAACCCTAACATCTATTCATCCACTCACTTTGACACCTCATTTGTTTTGCTAAATAAACATCTTCACAAAGAACGACAGGAGTTTTTGTTCTTACTCGTGAAGACCCAACTTGTTAGCGGCCAGTTTCTTCTTCGTTCCCAGGGCGATAGCCTCAGACAGCGCCATGGCGATGGCTGCCGTGTCCCTGTGTCGCACCACCTCTTCATCAATCTGAAGAGCTTTACTTACAACAGCATCAGCGAAGATGCAGACGTCTTCTTCTCTCTGTACGACACACGCGAGGCCAAACAGATCAGGTACGCCAAGTACGCTCAGTGCTAATGTGGCAGCCTAGAATGGGTCACATATGTACAGTATATACGAGCTGACACACACACACACACACACGCACACACACACACACACACACACACACACACACACACACACTCGCCCCA